ACTACTATACTATACGGATTTATTTTCCGGCCCTCAAAAAGTTTATTTTACAACACCAATATGTTTATTTACCAAACATGTTTCACCAAGACCAAACCGGGAAGAAAAATGCCTTTCCCCCAAAGTCAACCGTTACCCCTCACCTCCAAACACATCGCAAAAATAACGGAAGAGTGTGCGAACTTATTTTACAATAGTAAAACGGTTATTTCCTGCCATCTTTTACGAAAGATGCTTCTCCAAGGTCAAATTGGGGAGAAAAAATGGGCCCTTTCCCCGGTGGAGGAAATTGGGTCAGCCGTTCACCGCTCACCTTCCCGTGTGAAAACACAGGGCAAAATGAGGGAGGAGTGCGCGAGCTCCTTTTTTATACCAACCAGGGAGGACCCGTCCGGAAAGAGGTTTCATTAATCAAGCGCGCACGGAGGAACGGTTCCCATCTGTCAGATCCCACCAAATAAAAGGGCTCGTGAGTGCGGGTTGAGCCATTTTGGGATCCCTCCCGATCCTCTATTCCAGCTACAGTTTTTTCGTTTGCCTTACGTTTGCCTTCCCTTTAGCCTTGCCTCCTACCTTCCCTCTTGCCTTCCCTTCTGACTTCTCTCTTACCCTCCCTTTTACCTCTCTCTCTCTTGCTTTCCCTTTTGCCTCTCTCTTACCTTCCCTCTTACCTTGCCGTTGACCTTGCCATACCCCGTTTTACTTACTTTCCACCTTCTTACGCTACCGTACAACCATGAAACGTTCGAGACCAGATCGGTTGGTTGACTATAGCCCTTCTCCTACGCCACCGGAAGACTACCGGTTGGTTGATTACAGCCTTACACCGTCACCGTCGGAAGAAACAACCCGGCCACTGGTCGACTACAGCCGTTCACCGTCCCCACCAGGAAAACAGGTCGGTTCTGGGGGAAATTGGTTTTTAACGCCAAGGGAAAGGGATAGGCTTTATACTAACGAAGAACTTCATTCCTTTGACAATTCTGGCCTTACAAAAAAGTTTCATAAGAATTTGAATGCATATGTCTATGAAAATGTAATCACTTGGGAGAAATTAACTGGCAGGATAGAGTTAGGATTCCTAGAAAAAACCTTTCAAATTGCTTTGGATTCTATTTTGAATGAATACGTTACCGAGACAGGAGAGCCCATAGAAACAGTCAAATTTTCCGTTACGTTAGAACATAAATCTCTGCTAGAGGCTGGCAAGAAAGGATGCTATCTTCCCCCTAGGACGCGTGACATGAATGATAGTTATGCGTTGTTCATGATTTTTGAAAACATGGCCCAAAGCAATGAGCACTATACTTTAGATGAGAATATGAGAATCGTTGTCAACATTAAATCACCTTTATTAGGGGGTGGAAGAAGGGATAAGACAAATTTTACTGAAGGGGAACCCCCTATCCCCGATAACTTGTGTCTCCTCCGAGCCCTTGCACGTGCAATCGTAAATGCAGACCTAGAACAACTTAGTGCCCGAGATCCCAAGTGCTATTCGAATGGGGAATACGAAAAACTGAGCAAAAAACTTGATCACATATGTCTAAGTTGGGAATATGCCAATCTTTTGGGATTAGAACTTGCCGCGACATGCCTACCAAAGTTTTGTCCTAAGGATGCAAAACCAATGTCATTACGAGACGTTGTTACCATACAAAGAAATTTAAAAGGCTACCGGATAGTTGTTTATGACAATAATGGGGCGATGATCTTTACCCCAACCCATTCACGAGATCCCCTGTTAAAAATCCTCTATTCCGAGAATCACTACTCCACTTTCTTCACGGTCAAACATACTTTTAATGGTCGTGAACGCCCAAGGCTAGAATTTTGTTGTAAACGATGTGGAGTACTCAAATCTAACAGTACCTCGCATAACCGTTGCCCAATGGCTTGTTTATACTGTCAGAAAGCAGATAGAACATGTACCGTCATCGTCGAAGAACAAACTTCTTGCCTAACCTGTAGGAGAACTTTTCCAAATTTCCAATGCTTTGATAACCACTTTAGAAAGGACAAATGTACCTCACGTAGCCATAAATGCACTTCCTGCGGGGAAGAGATGAGAAAACATCTTTTGAAAATTCATGAATGTTTTACCAAATATTGCGGAAAATGTCGAACGGATATGCCCCTTACTCACAAATGTTCCTGGCTACCCGTCAAGGATGCTAAACGCAATCAATCCCTACGGAAAGCAGGCACTTTTCGCTTTCTCTATTTTGACTTTGAGACCGACTGTGTTAGGCATGATGAGAAGGGTAATATCATATGGCTACCTAGACATACAGTAAACCTAATTTCCTTTATTAAGGTTTGCAACCTATGCGCACCTAAGGACCTCCTTCCAACCAATCTAGAAAGCAAGCGTCATGCGCCACGGGATTTTATCTGTCCGCAATGTGGACCTGTAGGTGTGCAACTTTGGGAGCCTATACCCGGGAAACATCCGGACGATCTTATCGAGCGTTTCTGCCGTTTCCTCCTTTTCAATCAACAAAACGACCGCTACACCTGCATTGCGCAGAATGGCGGCTCTTACGACACCCATTTTATCCTCAAACATTGCATTAAACTAGGTGTAGTCCCGCAAGTAATTTTTAACGGTCAAAAAATTTTGAGCATGGAATTTGTGAGACCTAGAAAGAATTTCATTAAAAACTTGAAGAAAGGACCCTTAGGAAACGTGGAATGGACACCAAAAAATACCCCAACTAAACAAGAGTCGCTCATCAATAGGGTTAGGTTTCTGGATAGTAGAAATTTTGCATCTATTCCTCTTAGTCAATATGCTGCTTGCTTTGACCTGCCAGAAAAGAAGGGTTTTTATCCATTATTCCTCACCGCAGCGCATAAGACCTCAAATGAATGGCCAGATCCAAAATATTTTGGGGCCGACACCATGTCTGTAAAGCAGGTCAAAGAACTGCACTCGTTTTTAAACGAGAAAAAGCGGAATGGGATACCTTTTGTCTGGGAGGATGAGTTCAAGGAGTATTCTAAGAGTGATAGTCTAGTATTGATGATGGGCATGATGAAGTTTCGCAAATTTTTTATCGAAAATGCCGGTTTCGACCCGTTGCAAGAGGAGATTACTTTGGCATCTACCTGTCTGAAAACCTTTCGCTACAATTTTCACAATCCAAACTATTCTATTGCCGTGATACCCGAGTATGGACTTTCCCCACACTTTGTTTCCGCGATTAGTCAAAAGTACCTAGCATGGTTGGAAAAGGAGCAAAATATTCAGATTCAAAGAGCGACTTTCGGCGGAGAAAAGACGGTGACGATGAAATCGGGACGTACGTTTAAACTAGATGGCTATCGAGAACTCGAGGATGGGACACGGATCGCTTATGAAGTCAACGGGTGTGTATTTCATGGCTGCCCCTGCATAACAAACCGCAACCTGCACAGTCCCTTTTCTGGAAAAACGATGGAGGAACTCTACGATCTGACGATAGCAAGGAAGGACGAACTGGAAGATGAAGGTTTTAATGTCAACATGGTATGGGAATGCGAAATCAAGGAAATGTGTCGACAAAACAAGGAGATGGCCGAATTTATCAAGAGGTACGATTTTGTTGGCAACTTGATACCACGTAATGGCTTCCGAGGGGGTCGAACACAAACCTTTCACATGCGCGCAAATTTAAAAGAAGGCGAATTTATCCACTATTACGATGCAGTTTCTTTGTACGCGGCGGTTGGGGCTTTCTGCCCGTTTCCGATCGGAGAGCCTGAAATCATCTTCCCACCGGACAACACCGTGATTCCGGGTTCACCAAAGTTAAGCTACAAGGGCATGTATTTTTGCACGGTTTTACCACCTCGAAATTTGAAAATTGCAATCTTACCTATTAGCTACAAACAGCAAATGATTTATACACTTTGTCGAGCCTGCATGAAGGAACGCTGCGAAAATGGGAAAAATTTGGGCTATAAAATCTGCGCGCACACGGTAGATCAACGTAAAATTAGGGACATTTGGACCTCGTTTGAGTTAGAACTAGCCCTCGAACACGGTTACGAGATTTTGGATGTTATCGAGGTCTGGCACTGGTCCAAATGGACAGACTCGGATCCGGATTGGAGGATAATTCCCGAAAATGGACTCTTTTCAGCCTATATGCGACTATTTTTGAAGCTAAAGTACGAGGCGAGTGGATGGCCCGATACATGTCAGACGCCAGAAGAACGAACGCATTTTCTAGCTGATTTCGAGGCTCGTCACGGAATGGCTTTGGATCCGGCTGCCCTCGATATGCCGAACAAGGGTAAACGCTTCCTCGCAAAGGCCTGCCTTGTCAACCTGGTAAGTTCCCATTTGTCCAGAACAGACTAATCATCATTTTTTAGTGGGGCCGCTGCGGACTGAAGGCCGACCGTTCTTCAGTGACTTTTGCGAACACACAGCAGGCGGTTGAAAAAGTTTGGAATGATCCTACACTCGACATTACCTACGACAAAATTTTTGAAGCAGGAGACACGCCAATTTGGCTTTTCACTCATCGGAAGAAGCAGGATTGGATTCATTCTGCCCCTTTTGGTAAGTCCAAACATGCACGAACAGATTCAAACTTTTTTAGGTAGCCTCCCTATTGCATGCTTGACGACGTCCTATGGTAGGATCCGGTTAACCAAATGGCTGCTCGAGATTGGATACGATCAGGTTAGTTAAACTCAAAAAAAGACAGATCAAAAACCAAATTTAGATTTTGTACTCGGACAGCGACTCATGCGTGTGGATTGCCCGCGACGACGATCCCAAACACCAAGAATTTCTGAAGAGGAATGCTGGCGAAAACCTAGGTCAACTGAAGAATGAGGTGGGTGAAGGTTATAGAATTACAAATTTTGTTAGTGGGGGAAGCAAGCAGTATTGCCTTCGACTGTCAAAATATGATGCCCGAGGCCAGATTATCGACACGGTTGAAACAGTAAAACTGCGAGGAATATCGCAAAACTCTAGCAATAAGGATATAGCTACTTTCCAGAACATGGAGAAACAAGTCGAGAACCTGCTTCGGGGCAACATTGAAGACCCTTTAATCTTTTCAGGCCCCCAAGTTAAGAAGCGTTTTGGTCAAGTAGGTACTTCTATCCAAAATAAAAAATACATTGCCCGGCTTACGGGGGGTCAAATTTTACCAGATGGCTCCGTACTACCTTTCGGTTACCTTTTCGACTGAGTGGGTCGGGGGTCGGGGGTTTGGGGGGTTGGGGGGTCGGGGGGTTGGGGGGTCGGGGGGGTTGGGGGTTTGGGGGGTCGGGGGGTTGGGGGTTTGGGGGTTTGGGGTTGGGTCGCGGGGGCTCCCCCCTCCCGGAGGGCCCTCCCGCCAGGGCCTTCCTCCCGCCAGGGCCTACCTCCCGTCAGGGCCTTCCTCCCGCCAGGGCCTTCCTCCCGCTAGGGCCTTCCCGCCAGGGCCTTCCTCCCGCTAGGGCCTTCCCGCCAGGGCCCTCCCCTCCCTCCGGGCGGGCTTAAAAGGCAAGGAGAGGAAAGGTTTTTGAATAATGGAGTCATTCAAGTTCAAACACCCGTGTTCAATTTTTGCTTTTTGTCAGAGTCTGGGCGGTAAAACCACCTGGACTTTGAAATTGTTGCGAAATTATGAAAGCTTGATGGAAAATTCTAAAGATGTAAGAAAAATTTTGTATTTTACGGGGTCAAATACGCAAAGTTTTCGTGAAAAGGTCCACGGGATAAAGGGACTGGAAATTATTGAGGGGGCCCCGACCGAGGAGGTCGTGAAGAGTCTGAGAAATTGTATTTTAGTTATTGACGACCTCATGACTGAAATTGATGAGGGTTTGATGGCTAGGCTCACCAGTAAAGTTACCCACCACCAAAACTGCACGCTAATTTTTTTGAGCCAAGACGCTTTTCGAAGCAGGCGAACCGCGCGGGTAAATGCCAATTACATTGTTTTGTTGCGGTCGGTGGCAGACCAGTTGCAAGCCAGACAAATTGGTATGCAGTGTTTCCCCACGCAATTTTCCTACTTTTGGGATAGTTACCGTTCAGCTACCGCCCTGCCATACGGTTATTTGGTAATTAACTGCCACGCTAGTTTAGAAAATTTGGACCACCGGCTCGTAACGAGCATTTTCCCAGAGGATATAAATCAAATTTTTTACCTACCTCCTTAGTTTCAATGCACTGTTCCCATTTGGCATTTCTAAACCGTCTCTCCAGTAGCAAGAACCCCCGCCAACTTTTGAAAAAGGCCAAAAACGTTGAAATTAAGGTTTTGGTTGAGCTGCTGGCTAATATCGTGCGGGGGAGTATTCCTCTGTTCAAGTACGAAGTCAAAAGGCTCCAGCCGTACTTTGAGGTTATCAAAAAACTATCCAAATTAAGGCAGTTTGAAAAGGCCAGGAAAAGCCTGTCTAAAAATTTTGAGGCGGTAAAGGCTTTTCTCGTACCGCTAGTTAGTTTTTGCAATGGCAAAGCAAACCTTTAGAAAGATGAAACTAGTCCCCTGCCATCAGGAGGGCGATGGCTACATGGACACCCCGAGGCAGCAAATTGTTGTTGAAGCCCAGCAAACTGAGGAAAAAATGCGCGAACTTTTGCAAAGCGGCCTGCCCGACGACTTGAAAATGCGCCTGTACTCTGGGTTGTTGAACGCCCTAACCTCTTTGGCGGCCGAAATTCGGGACAAAGACAAACCGGCTAGTGAACCAGTAGTAGCAGTTAAAAGGGCCAAGTCTTGCAAGAACCTTCCACTTCCCGTCTTTTCACCCATTAAAACCCGCGCGCGTAGACTTGCCGATAAGAAACAGCAAGGCGATGGCCGCTTCCGTGTCAAAATCTACAAGAACTAAACTGGATAGACTTTTTACGAACCTCCGTTCCCCTATAGCTTTCACTTCAAGGTCTAACCTTCTCAAGGCTGCAGCCGGTATCCCCAAAGCTAGCGTAGATGCCTATCTACAGGGCAAAAGGTCCTACTTTTTGCATAGAAATTCTGCCCGTCGTTTTCCTCAGAAAAAGTTTGTTGGTAGCAGTTTCAATAGTCACCATTGTGCTGACTTGGGGGATTTTCAGAAGTTAAAAAAGTTCAATAGAGAGTACAGGTACCTGCTGGTGGTGGTGGATTTGTTTACGCGGATGACCTACGTGAAGCCCTTGTTGACGAAGAAATGTGAAGAGGTTAAAGAGCGGTATAGTGATATTTGTAATGAGATTGGGAACCCCCCTTATTTTTTAACAACGGACCGGGGTAAAGAGTTTGTCGGCGCAACAATGAAAATGTTTTGTAAGGAACACGAAATTGTGCAAATCTTCACAAATGGTCAATCAAAAAGCGCACCGGCGGAGCGGAAGATTAGATCCATCAAAGACCGCCTGTATGCCTATTTTACTGAGAACGACACTTATAATTGGGTGGATGCGGTTGATGCTGTGGTCGCTGGTATCAACGCAACCCCAACAAGCGCCCTGAAAGGTCTTATTCCCGACGAGATTACGAAGGAGCACCGTTTTCCAAAAGTCGTGGAAAAGCGCAAGCGAAAACCCGACCCCATGTTGAATGTTGGTGACTTTGTAGTTATCAAACTTCAGGATAAGGTTTTCCGGAAAAGCTACGAGGGTACTCATAAGGATGAGGTTTTTGTCATTAAGGAAATTAAATATCACACCGCTTTTAATGCACCAACTTATTACCTTGCGGACTTGAACGGAGAAGACATTGAGGGTGTGTTTTACAAAGAGGAATTAGTAAAAATTAACCGCCCAGCTTTGTTTAGGGTCGATGCTATCTTGAGGCGTAAGACTGTCAAAGGGGTTCGTTACGGGTTGGTGCAATACCGTGGCTATTCTAACGTATTTAATAGGTGGGTTCGTTTAGCTGATATTGTGAATGAAGGGGGGACCTTTGCCGCCCTCGACTAGCCTGACTACTGTACAAATTTGTCTAACTTTCTTGGTGATAATTGCTTGCGTGGTCAACATGACCATTGCCCATATAAAAGGGTTGGACATTTCCGTTTGGCTTAGTGTCGTCCGACTGGTTTTACATTCCCAAAATGAGTGACGATTTTTATGTAACCGTTGTTGGACCGTGCGATGAGAGAAGTCCCTTTTTGACTAACCATTTGGCAAAAGAATTGAACCTGCAAGAAGGTGGGGCGCAGCAAAGCCAATGGGCTTGCGCACTCGTTGAAATGACTGGTGTTGGCGCTGTTGACCAAGTACCCGAGAATCAACGTGTGAAAGTTGTTGATACTAATGGTCAGGCAACGAATTTCTATTTACCTGCAGGAAACTATCTGAAACCGGCTCGCCTTGCTAATGCGCTCAACTCGATTTTTGGCAAGTCTAGGAAACGTAGATCGACTCCCGACGAACTGCCCCCCAACTTTGACGCTTCGGCGGAAAAGAAGACTTTCACCTCCCTCCCTCTAGGAGGTGCTGAGGTACCTCACAATGAACCACCAGAGGAAGAGTCCCAAGAAACTACCGAGGTGTCTCACAATGAAGCAACGGGGGCTCAACCAGAGCTAACACCCCAACCCCTAGAAAGTACCGAGGTGCCTCACAAGGAAGAAACGGGGGCTCAGCCAGACTCCCTCCCCCTAGAAAGTAGCGAGGTGCGCGAACCAACGGGGGCTCACAGTGAACCACCGGGTGTTCATTCCCTCCACAGTACCGAGGTACCTGACACAGCGGAAGTACCAGAAGTTCCCGAGGAAAGTCAGGAAGCTCCAATTGAGCCAGTTGAGGAAACAGTTGCAGAAACTCAAGCAACGGGTTCTCTAGGAGACGGTGAAGCATATACCATTCCGGAAGCTGAAACTCCTCCCGGTAGCCCAGTAACGGCAGATGTGCACGAAGAAGATTCCGCGAGCGATGCAACGTTTGGTGGAGGCGGAGATTCGAATTTTGACGCATCAAAAGAGGATAAAATTTTCACTTCTTTTCCACTTCCTGAAGTGGTTTTCCAGCCAGAGTTTAGAAAAGCAGCAAGATCGGACATCCTCAGTGTCTATTACAATTTGACTGACAAAGTATCGGAAGTGGCGGCAGTTGAACCTGTCGCTGAGGAGATCCCCGTGGTTGCCTTGCAGAATTTTAGCGATAGTTTTTCGTATGAGCTAAAAAATGCGGCTCACGAAAGCAGGGGAGTATGCTTCGAATACGATGAGAACAAAATGCGCTTTATGGTCAACATTGACCCCGTTCGGGTTTCCAAAGTTATTTTGCCTGCCTTGGTCTGGCGTATGTTGGGCTTTGAAAGCGAGACCCTTAGTGGGCTTCAAACCGCAAAGTACTTGCCCGACCTTGCCTTTAACACTAGAAACTTGCGAGTTTTTTGCAATTTGGTTGACCCGCATTTGGTAGGGGGTGAGTTTTTGGAGCTGCTGCGTAGCATCCCTAACGATACGGTACCCGGGGGAGTTTCGACGAAAACTTTCAACCCTCCGGTGTACCATCGCGTCAAGCAAGGCCGTTTCAATTCCATTAAACTGCATATCACCGACGACAATGGGCGGGGGGTGCCCATGAATATCGGCAAATCGGTCGCCCTTCTCCATTTCAAAAGACTATATTAAGCGTTGCGATAGCCATTGTTCCATTCCCCCCACACAATGTCTTTCTCCAATTATTATTCAGTTGACCCTAATGAAATTGTTTGGGAGTTCAGCGAAGCCAAACAAAATATGTTGTCTAAGACGCAAAAAGGTAGCGGGGCTAAAACCCCTTTTCGGCACAGTAAATTTTTACTTCCTGTGAAACACAGCATCTCGACCCCGACACCCACCACTCTACCTTTGGTGCCTTCCGTTGAAGAAAAGCCCAAGATTAGGGCGGTCCCGAAATTTGGAAAGACGCCTATAAAAAGGGGTAGAAAACGACGGGCAACCATTTTTACCGTTATCCCTCCTAAAAATGTCCGCGGTAAAAGCATTGGAAAGCAACCCTGAGCTTTCTTTTTCCAACGAACTTGCCCTTTTTGACCCCATTCAACATGTAGTAGGTATCCAGTCTATGCGTTTTAGGAGTATCGCCCCAGAAAATAGTAGTCTAAACCAAACCGGGCCATATACTTTCCGTATCATGAAAGAACCACATTTTATTAGCCTTGCCCGTTCCTATGTCACAATGACTTTGCGTCTGGTTGACGAAAAAGGAAATGGTTATACACATTCGGAGAAAGATGAAAAGGGTGTCTTCCATTTCAAAGACCGTTGTGCCCCTATCCAATTTGCTGCTCGTGCCTTCTGGAAACAGGCGACGGTTAGCATTGGAGGTACCCAAATCGAAAATTCTGGAGATTTGTACCCGTACCGTGCTTTCATTAACGCCGAGTTCATGACAGATAGGAACGTTAAACAGTTTAACTATGGACACCCCCAACTCTATGATGCTGGCGATAACGGTTCGGAACATGAGACCAACGATGGTTTCGAAAATCTGAGTGTTCTTTTCATGAAGGGAGGCCCGTGCAGGTCAACAGTCCCTTGGATTTAAACATCTGTAGCAGCAATAAGCTGATGCTGAACAACACTGACATCCAGATCACCCTGCACCGGCAAAGCGATCAGTTCTTGATCCGCGCGTATGGTTCCGACAAGGAAACATGGCGTTTAGTGATTGACGACATTCGCCTCGTCGTGGCCGAGTACCAACTCTACCCTTCGGCTGTTGCCGCAATTGAACGTCAACTGAGTACTGGCAGCAAGGCTAGCTACCCCATGCGCAGCTATCAGACTAAAAGTTTCTTCATGCCCGCGGGTGTTTTGAAACTTCCGGAGATGCAACTGTTTAACTCTAATCAGATCCCTCGCCGCATTTTTGTGGGTCTCGTAAAGAATGATGGGTTTGTGGGAACATACAAGACCGATCCCTGGCGCTTCCACCATAATCATATCAAGAACTTGAGTATTCGTTTTGCAGGGCAGACTGTACCGTATAAGCCTTGGAACTTAACTTGGGATAAGGGCGGTTTGGGATGTACTGAGGCCTATACGCAAATGTTGGAAGGCTGCGGTATGACCGGCAGCAACCTAACAAATGGTATTGGGCATACAATGTTTTCAGACTCACGATGTGTGCAAGTGTTCGAACTTCTGCCGGACGCGGACGGTGGCATCAACAGTTTCGATATGGCGGTTTCTGGGCAGTGTACGTTGGACTTGGAGTTGAGTCAACCGGTACCGACAGGTGGACTTATGGTCGTCGTACACGCCGAGCTAATGGATAAATTGACGCTGGACCACGCCCGTCAAGCCCAGACACTTACGCTGTAACATGGACAACTGGACAATCGACTCTATTCTCATGACTAACCCTGTGACGCGTGTATCCTTCCAAGGTACATATGCCGCAGACACACTTCCAACTAACGCTTCGAAGACAGCCTTTTGCGTCAACACCGATAAGATATCAGAACTCGGTAAGCATTGGGTTGCCTTTTTCTCTCGGGGGGATACTGTATTCTATTTCGACCCGCTTGGAGATGAACCTCGAGGGGAAATTAGAATATGGTTGACCAACCATTTTACAAACGTGGTGTCCAACTGGAAACAATGCCAGGCTTTCGGAACACGGACTTGTGGTGCCTTCTGTATGATTTTTTTGTATAAGATGTGCCTTGGGATGCCTTTCTATGACGTTTTGCGGTTTCTTCACAGCATCGATGATTTATTTGTGGTTTTCCTTATGAAATCTCAATTTAACTTTGCTCTACCCTTGGCCTACGCCGGGGAGAATGTATATAAGGAGGAGTAGCTCAACGATTCGGTCTCATTCTGTCTAGTTTTACGATTTGATGAATTCTCTGCCAGCTCCGCGTCCTGATTATCGTTGCTTTAACTGTGACAAAGAGTTTTCTACAAACTCCAATCTCGTCCGTCACATCAAGCTAAACTGTCATAGCTCTCCAGGAGTAGAAGGCAGGTTGACGATTGACGAGCATGCCGGCCGCAGAGTCGATACATTGGGACCCCTCAGCGTCCAAACCTCGAAAAACGATAATCATGATACGAACGGAGCCAAGAAAATCTTTGAAATATCTTTTTATTACGACGCTACTAGTAACAGTGTTAAATCTCATGTTAACGCCTGTAATTCGTGACCGAGTCGTTGAGCATCTTCTTTTTCTTTGTTATCTAGGTAGTCACCGCATCGTTGTAAAACTTCTGTGCGAATAAATATTATAAATTAAACCGTTGCAACACACCTCAAATGAGTATGCACAGTATGGAGACACAGGGTTTTAAAACATACAGAGATGTAAGACATGTCCTTTTTTCACTAGTTCTGGTGAAACGTATTTTGTAAAAAGCTGACAAAAAACCCTTTGTTTGCTAAATGTTTTATATTTTAAAGTAGTAAAATAAAGTTTTCGAGGGCCTTAAAATAAATCCGTATAGTATAGTAGT